TGAGAGTGAGAGAGAGCGGTACGGGGATGGTTTTTATGGACAAGGGGGGCGATTGGAGGAGGGACCAGAGCGGGATAGAGAGATCGGTGATGAGGGAGGGAGAGAGAGAGTGAGAGGCTCAGAACAAAAGCCGCCCGACTCTGGAGGAGCTGTCAGAGAACACGGCGGGCGCGAGAACTCAGGGCGATTGGAGAGGCGTGGGCGACTGACCTCAGCATGCACATCCTCCAGTCCCACTGCGTCATCAGGTCAGCATCCCTGCGCCATCCAGAGTGTCCTCCTGTCCTGTCCCGTCCTGTTCTGCACACGTGTCCGTCTGTGTTTCTGTGGGTCTGTCTGTGCTTCTGTGGGTCTGTCTGTGCTTCTGTGGGTCTGTCTGTGTTTCTGTGGGTCTGTCTGTGCTTCTGTGGGTCTGTCTGTGTTTCTGTGGGTCTGTCTGTGCATATTTTGTCATGAAGACGAACCTTACGATGCTTTGCTGTGCCATGTGTGTTTCTCGTGTGCCACCAGGAGTCAGGTGACCTCGCTCTTCCTGTTGACCCTGTGGAATTGCATGCTAACAAAAGCCAGGATGATTAACAAAATGTTAACTTTTTTCTAGAAATTATGGCATGTAGGGCATTCAAGCTGCTAGCAATTAAATTGATGTAAATGAAGCATCCTTTCTTATTATATATTGAACACAGTTTTTAAACAAAATTTAGCAAAAAAATATTATTTTGTCCTCTGTCAATAATAATGCTATTATTACTACCATTCAAGCATTATTTTGATTCGTGAAATAAAATGCTCAAATAAAAACAAAAAGTGTTTATTCCCGCCGGAAATACTGTTTGGATCACTTGATCTTAATGAGCAGGACAGAATGTCTGTTTTGTTCACTATTTAGAATCACCAACCTGTAAAGAATTATATAGTTTCCTAACGTAAACCCTAAATAGCATCCACAGATAGCTGCTTGCTAATAAAAAAATAAGACTGTATAATTCATACCTCAGCACCGTGTGTGAGTCTGATATAACGCTGCCCTAACCTTAAACGCTATGCTCCTTCGCTTTTCAATTACACTGCAATCCAGGGCAAGCAGCCACACAGGGCATAAGCACAAAACAGCCGGCTTGGCCAATTTTAAAATGACTGTCTTAGAAAAGGCAGGGCAGACACCGGCTGAATCCTCACACCCGAGGTGGCGGGGTGAGACCTGCCCCCCCGCTGTCGCCCACCCCCCTACATGTAGATTTGCTCACACTCTAATTTTCACAAACCTGATGCCGCTGCACATATCGCAGTTAATTTTAATATTGTTAATCAGATGTTACACTGGTTAAATGCTTTGCATCTGATGCGACAGTGCTGCTGCAGACCGGTACGTATATTGGAGCACAGCAGTGGCACGTGAAGCCGGTCTGCACGCCTCCCTCGAACCCGACCTCCTGCCATAGCACAGAAGTGAGGCGCTACCGCCTCCTAATGTCGGTCTTCTGTAGCTGGTCCGTCCCTGTGAGGAATAATTGATGCTTCGGAGAGCAGGGATTGGCTGCTCTGCCCTGCTGTCTCTTCAGCGGCCGTCTCCCATGGCGGGGGGGGGTTGGGGGTCATAATGCAGATCGGCCCCTTATTTCCTCGCTTCTTCGTTAATTACCTGGACGCGCTGTAGTTTAGCGCGCCGTGGCTCCCCTGGGAGCCCCGGCTGGAGCTGGTGTGAAGGCGACGCTCATTTAAGACGCCTGTGTTACGTCAGGGGCTGGTCGGGGTCGCTTCCCCGTCACACAGCCGCTGTGTTTCCATTAAGCCATGCTCCGCTAACTCAATTAGGGGGTGGCGTGGCTCGTGTCCCGAGATTAAAGTGTGACAGATAATACAGCTGATAACTGACCCAGTGAGCCACCCCCCCACACCCATGGATAGGTCTATGTCCCCTCCATTCTGGTCTAGGTAGCAGAATACACAGTGGTGCTTAAAAGTACCTAGGAGCTTGAAACACATTACAGAGATTCCTAGGGAGGTTGATCGGAATGTGTTTGATGTGACACCAGCTCTTTCCCCCATCCGCCGTGGGGAGGGGGGGGGGGGTGGCTGGCTTCGCCTGTGTCCCCTGAATGGTGGACAGCTGCCATACAGCTCCGATGGCCAGGAGGCGAGATCCCGGGCGCTGATCCGGCCTGAGCCTCCTTCTGAGAGCTGTCTGAGGTGCTGAAGCAGACGCGTGGGAGCTGGGCTCTCGTAGGGCTGCGGCGCTGACCTGGCACTCCCCAGCCGACATAGGAGCGACAGAGACGTCCTGTTATTACAGCAGTAGCTGTAACTGCAGCACTGTCAACTGTCATGTGGCCTTCAGTTGGTTCAGTCGTCTGCTCGACTTGATTGTGATTCAATGTGCCGTTTATGAGACTGCAGTGCAGCACAATCAGTCTGGCTAATCTAGGATGCTGCATCTGTTTGCAATTTGCATTTAGTTGCAATTTGTTTTGACAGTAAGCCTCAAACTTCTTATCAAGCTTGACCCACGTGAGCTGATTGTGCAATTTAACCCTTAAATCAGGGTTGTCAAACTCCAGTCCTGGGGGGCCGGAGCCCTGTGTAGCTTAGTTCTTTCCCTGTTCCACCACCAATGATTCAGCTCAAGAGCTGTGTGGTAATTAGCACAAGGAGTTGAATCAGGTGTGTTAAATGAGGGGAAACTCAAAAATGTGCAAGGCTCCGGCCCCCCAGGACTGGAGTTTGACACCCCTGCCTTAAATGGACTGTAATTGATATAATCTTATTGCATAAAAGGGCATGAAAACAAAGGTTGCTGTCATATAGAGATGCACTGCATCCAAAATCGAGTCTGTGTGTCTACATTCTCTCTCTGTGACAATGTAGGTCTCTTTTGGGCATTCCTCTTGTACCCACAGTCAAAAAAAAATGCAGTTAGATGACTTGTTGTCTTGTGTGCCGTGCGATAGGCTGGCAGCCTCATGCCCTGTGCATCCTGGGAGAAGCTGCAGGCTCACCCTGGTCCTGTATTAGGCTGGCACTGATGGAAAATGAAAGTCCACTGTTACGGAAGAACTTCCAAGCACTCAGGAGATTTACTGCTTTTGTCTGAATTTGATGGAAAATAGATGGCTGATTGTATCTGTCTAACTGCCTGTGACATCACACCATTTTGTTTTTCAATTCATTGTGCCACTGGCTATGCTCAGAATAGTTTATTTATTTAAAAATCTGCTTACTTTTGTAAACAAAAATGCTGTTATGCCATCTATTTTCTGAGCAGTGACTTGTTAACAGACATCACGTTCTCACTAAAGTGTGGTATACGTGGAGCATCACAGTGTACATCTGTACCCTATGATTTGCACTGCATTGTGGGTATTTTGTAGTGCACTTTATAATGCACTTAGATTGGCTCTTGATATTATGAACAACACGACAAAACGACTGATGCTCCTTATAGTGCCCTATTTTTGTTATAGGGTGCAATCTCAATAACAATCGTAATAAACATTCATTAATCAGTATTTATTTTGAGCTTTGTGTCAATTTGCGATGAGAAACCAGTGAACAAGGGCGATTCTCTCGAGGAATTATATTTAGTGCGTGGTGAATTTTTAGGACGCTTTCTGTTACGTAAAGGTTGCTTGCAGCCATCCCCAAGGACTAAAGAGCTAGCAAACTACTTTTAGCGGCATGCTAGCTAAAGGCTTATCACTCTCACAGAACCAGTGTCCCCATTTGCCTTTTGTCGCCCCCCCCCCCCCCATACTGAGACCCCCATTGGGTGACACAGTACTTGTGGAGCACTTAGCTAGCCTCCTGCTTTTCAAAATCACAGTGAAAGGCTGTGTATCATTACATCACTTACTTACTGTGGGATACAGTGTCTGGTAGTGATGGGGACAAGACCACATATATCCAATAGAAGACTAATACAGGACTAAGACTTTGAGAGTCCAAGTCAAGACCGAGACTTTGGGGTGGTCGAGATTGATGCTTTGGGGGATGTGAGACCGAAAAAAATCAAATCCATTTTCAAGAATATGGTTTAATTACACTCATTTACTATCAGCATCACCCCCGGCAATATTTGTAAGTAAAGGCATAGTCAGTAGGGTTGCCATTTTCAGTCTAAAGAAATAACACACACTACTGACTACCAGGATCCCCCCCCTACTCTGTGTCCCTGACAATAAAATGTGCTGGGGGGCTGAGGGTTACGAAATGTGTGCGAAAATACAGGGCAAATTGCATCCTGTATTGTTTCAAAAGCTGTCACAGCTTTTTATTTATTTACACTCTTTCTTTTTGGTGCTGTAATATATGGGAGGGGTGGCAACTCTAATGGTGGTAAAGACTGTCAGGAGAAACGCTTCAATAAATGACGGAAGGAAGGCGATCCTTTGATCTGAAACATAAGTATTTTATCACAAATACCCAACCCGATACCGATGCTAATCTGATCAAATATTCATGTGAGTCACTCATATCTAAAAGTTCTCATACAAATAAATCAAAGAAAGTTTTCATTGGTTGTACTGATTGTTTTGTGATTAACGTACCCAAACCTATTATTGAATGAATTAACTGATATGTTGTCTGTTCTGAGGAAATTTGTTGCACTATGGGACAGTCTTTTCAAAAACAAATAAAATAACATCACTACACAGTTAATAACAGAAGTAGTAGATGAAGGAGTAGAAGAAATCAGAAAGTTTATCACTATGGTGGGAAAAAGAGATCTTGCATCTCCTTCTAAAATTAAGTCCAAATCATAGATACTCTTGTTGGAGACCGATTCAAGATTGAGTAGAAATGCTTTCAATTTCTAGACACTACAGAATAAGTGAAAATGGGGCCCTCAGTGATGATATACATAACTTCCTGTTTTGTCTCTTCTATCTGTTTCTCCTACTGCAGGTGGCTCGATGGCCCAAAAAGGAAGAGGAAAAACAGCCAGTGTTCGGTGAAGGGCATGTCTGGTAAGAGTCCACGTGGCATTCTCACAGACAGCAGGAAGAGAGATGGGAAGTCTTACAACATCCTTGAGTTACGTGACACCAACTAGAAGCTCATTGTTGGGTGCTCGAGATCATTTTGAGGCCTTCGACAAGATCGCTTTGTGGCCCAAACAAGATTTTTGAAGGGCGATGATTTGTGGAGGATGACAAAAGAAAGTAAAATGAGTTCAAGGAAGAGGCTGTCTGCTTAGTGACTGTAAGACGTCTCAAAAGTGTGGCAGCCGAGGACCATTTGGACTTGATTGCATCTAGAGGCTTCACTTATACAGGAAAATGTGTATTTTGGTGTTTAAGATGGAATACATAAGGTATTCCCTAGTGCCATATTGTAGCCTAATTCCGTGTTGCGGTTGCCAGCAGGGCAGATAAGTGTCATAATCTTGTTGAGCAGGTCCAGAAGTCGATATGTAGAGGCAGGGTGCTGAGTTTTGTTTATCAGGCGAAAGTAGAATGGTGCTGGAAGAGTGCTGATGTTCTCCAGAAGCCCTCAGAGTTCATTATTAAAGTGATACAGACGATAACGAGCAACAACTGTTCGCAAAATATTAGGGAGCCTTTGCTCTACTTGAAGACCAATGAGGCAAAATCCCAGCAGGGTGAAGGATGAGTTTGTGCTCATTTTACAGCCAGAAATATAATCCTATCTCATTAGTATCAGCTCGGTTTTTTTGTTCTGTGACATCTCTGTCTTTGTAATCTGCCTCGCTTTTGATTGATTCTACATATTACACTCAATAAGAGGGTCAATGCGTCCTTCATGTTTTCTACCTCAGATGGAGAAATTGTGGGTTTAGTTTTTTTTTTTTGTACCTTAACCTGCAAACGTAAAACTGTCTTCAAGGTCTCCTGATGCTCTCTTTTAATGGTATAAAGAGGAAAGACAGATTGCTCTAAATAGAGAAGACACACACTTACTTTCTGTATCCCAAGTCTCTATTTGCACTCTAGTTGATTGCTTTAGGTTTGCTCACTTTTCTTAATCATAGTCTAGTGCTGTTTCTCCATCGGATGATCGGCTGTTCATTTTATGAGCCCTGGTGGAGCTGGAATGAGGCTCCAGCCCCCAGTTTCCAGTAAGGGGGCCTTTACTTGTTCTGTAGGAGATGTGCTGAGGTGTCTGCCAGTGAAGGAACATTGGCCACGGCCTTGAAAGTGCACCAAAGTCCACTGTCATGAGAGAACGTGGGAGAAGAAGTTTGTAATAAGTTTGCTGAGTTTCTGGGTTTGCTGCGTAGCCATGGACCGAGGACAGTGAGGGCGGTACGTGCTGGCCAGTTATACAGCTGCACATGTGGCATCTGGCCAGCAAGGTGTCACCGCTGTGCATGGGTGCCCCTGTCATTGGGGGCATGGGAATGTGCTGTGGGTGGCACACTGTTAGTGTAGCACGTATCCATGGCTACACACACGTCTGTATTGCTGGTGGGAAGGTGTAGGGGGCGCTCTGTGTTGACCTTCTGCTTGCACTGGCGTTCCCATGGCTGTGCACACATTAGGGGGCGGCAGACTGCCCGCCGTGTGCCGTGTCGGCCGCGTGCTTCCTGTACGTGCGCCCCACGTGCTCCTGAGGAAACGTGTGAATGTAAGCGATCGCCGATTTGGAGACCACACGCTCATTTCACATCAGGATGCCGTCATTCCCTTCGCCTGAGGAATTTTTCTGCTGCGGAATTTCGAAATGGCGTCTGTTTTGATTCGCAAGATGTGTGTAACCCCTCAAGTCCCTCCTTATGTGACCTTAATTTGTTCCACCAACACTTGCTCCTAAGTTTTTACATTTACATTACATGTTGATTATATTACCTATTTCATCCCATGACAGATGAGGTCAGACACTTCTTCCCATATAACCGGATTGCACAGTAAACAATGGGAAATTAATGTATATATATGATATGATATGATATGATATGATATAAATGCAGTTTATTGGTAGATTTCAAATGTGGGTTTGTGCACTAGCAGTGCAGCGTGTGCAGGGCAAAATCTTCGGTCCTATGTCACATGACCACAGACAGCCATATTGGTGCATGGAAGCCCCTCCTTTCTGAGCTGTCTGTCAGATGCAGCCACCCACTAGCGCTGAGCCTCTCTGTTGCAGGGTACATCCCCAGTTACCTGGAGAAGGATGAGCCATGCGTGGTATGTGGGGACAAGGCCACTGGGTACCACTACCGCTGCATCACCTGCGAGGGCTGCAAGGTGGGTCACTCCCTGCACAGACAGACAATCTGGGGGTGAGGTAATGGCTGGGAAGAGCAGCCTGGTGCACTAGCGCTCATCTCTGAGTGCCTCTGGTTTTCGAGATGGGGCGACTCACCACAGGAAGCGGAGGATGTGGCTGGTCCATTTAGAAACCAGTACAGTAGATCTGGAGATTCGTTCTCCGGGGAACGTACTGTATGGTGAGAGCCGAGTCTGGGAAGGCAAAAACGCGGAGAGCTCCATATGAAGTGAGGACTGTTTTACCATCTCCAACATCAAGCCCCATCTCTGCTCCATCAAGCCGTCGAGGCAGAAGCAGTCAGACAGCCCCTGCCGCTTGCTCTCTGACATGTCTGCACATATCGCCGACCGCCTCTGCTTCCCACCGTCGCTCTCTGGCCCTTAATCGCCCCTCACCGCCAGCTCTCCTTCTGTAGCTCTAACTGTGCTGCTAGATGGCATGTAAAACAAACCCAAAAATATGCAGCGTTCCCTGAAAAGAAGGTATCAGCCGGAAAACCAGAAAACAGAGACGTTGCGTAGTTCCCCCGTGTGAGGTGCTGGTCTGTGTCACTGTGCCCAAACTCTGACTGGCTGCAGCGCTCACTTCCCCTCGCTCTCTCTCATCTCGCTTTAATCCTCCCTTCTTCTCCTCTTTCTTGGCCTCTAGGGCTTCTTCCGCCGCACCATCCAGAAGAACCTGCACCCCTCTTACTCCTGCAAGTATGACGGCTGCTGCATCATCGATAAGATCACGCGGAACCAGTGCCAGCTGTGCCGCTTCAAGAAGTGCATCGGAGTGGGCATGGCCATGGACCGTGAGTCGCCTCACCCGCGCATGGGTGCCTGCCCTGGCATCGACGGGAACGGCATCAGCTCTCGCACATCCGTCCAACACGCGAGCATATCAGCGCAGCACAGATGCAGCAGCCTGACCCATGCTCTTTATCCCCGGTGCCATGTGATGAGTCCTCCGCCTTTGTAATCCCGACCGTACAGACCCACGTGTGGCCACACTGCACTGTAAAATGCTGTGGTGCCACAGCCAAAAGCCCAACTCCCACTGCATTGTCATAGATAACGGGAAAGTAAAACAGTTTTTTTGACTACAACCAAAAATACTTGGTAATACTTGATAGTACACAAATGCTTAGTAGTTACTCAGTTACTACTGAAGTACAAATTATGAACAAATCATGAACAAATATAGTTCCTACTTGAGAAGATGCGTCACGATTCATCAATGATGAACAAACATGAGGTCAGTATTTCACTTGTTATTCATTACTTATTCATTCAGTAGTTTCTTCAGTAGCTCAGAAAGGTTTGCAGAATTAACAGAGTATCACATAGTAACTGCTTGCGATGATGTACGATTCACAATTCATTAATGATGAATTAACATAAGATCAGTATGTAACTAAGACTTAGTCTGTGGTTAATTAATACATAAGTAATTGCTTAATACTACATTATTCGGCCCTTCCCAAGTAAAGTCTTACCAAATACTTTTAGAATTAACCAAGTTATTTTTATTTGATTACTAATCAGAATACAGGGCACAGTCAGAGAGTCTGTATTTGGGCAGGATGGATTTTGCTCCTTGAATTTCCATTCTCTTTTGGTATATTATAGTGACATAGACTGCTTAGAAATTTTGTTGCATTGTGCCAGTGTTTCACATTTTGATTTAGTCACAATTCTATTTTCTGGATATCATTCTTGATTTACATTTTCCATTTACAGGTAAAGCAAAGAATCAAATATCGTTAATTTATATGGGAAAAAATAAGCTACCGAATCATACTAAATAACACATAAAACCTAAAATTACACTAACATATAGTAAAAGCAGGAATGATATGATAACTACAGAGCCTATCTAACATGCAAATAATGTATGTGCAGTGCAGTTTCACGTACCAGAATCAATACAGTAATGCACAGCTTAAAAACAGGGATATGTTCTAAGAAATGCGATTTCACCGTTGTGAGTACAGAATCGAGCATACTTACAAAGCTAGGTAGTATAGCCTACTACACACATAGCCTATATAATAATGATTAAAAAGCACATTATAATAAATACGTAAAGCAGTAACATTTTTGTTTATTATCATTAACAAGTATTATGTGCTGTACATAAATGTGCACTACTTTTATATAACTGGCAGAGCAGTAGCTTTGTTTACACCAGTGTCACCACAAACAAACACATGTGTGTTTTGTTATGACATTACGGTGCCAACGATGTCACTCCATTATAATCTTATGGGACCACTGTCGTATATGTGGTCCATCCTTGACCAAAATGTCAATTTGTGGCGCATGACTGTATATTTTTAATGGGTTCGCTGATAAACAAATGGTAAACGTTTTTTTTTGCTATTCTCCATTTTCATAAAAGTGAAAATCCTGTTTGGATTTTTTTCGGTTAGCAAAACCAGGTGCTAATGTGGGCCTTTCGTAAAAGCGAAGTGACGTAATGCAAAAATCTGTAACGAACGGGGGATACCTGTACATTTATCTTCAAAATGTCCATTTTGGCATATTGCAATAATATGCATTGGGTTATTATTGTCCATTGATTCAAAGAATCTTGCCAGGGCTGCATTAAGCAGAACCTCCATTAGAAGTGCAACACACACTCTTTCTGAAACATTTGATTTCCGGGTGATACCTGCAGCCTACTGTATGCACCAAATCTGTCTCCGCATAAGACGATTCAGGCAGGGCTTTAATAAGTTTTCTCTGTCTCTGTCACAGTGGTGCTGGATGACTCCAAGAGAGTGGCTAAGCGGCGGCTCATCGAGGAGAACAGGGAGCGCCGGAGGAAGGAGGAGATGGTGAAGAACCTGCAGAACCGACCTGAGCCCTCCAGCACCGAGTGGGAACTGATCCGCTTGGTAACAGAGGCCCATCGCCACACCAACGCCCAGGGTTCCCACTGGAAACAGAAACGCAAGTTCCTGGTGAGCAGGGACTCCTGTCCATATTTCTGTCATCCCCTGATTAGCTGATTTAGGGAACGTTTACCTGTCTCAATTGAAGTATTGAGGCTTGCTGTTTCTCTACTGTGAACTAGGTTTTGTGAACTTGGGTAGGTCTAGGGAACTTGGGTAGGTTTAGGAAACTTGGGTTGGTTTGGTGAACTTGGGTAGGTTTAGGGAACTTGGGAATGTTTGGTGAACTTGGGTAGGTTTAGGGAACTTGGGTATGTTTGATGAACTCGGGTAGGTTTAAGGAACTTGGGTAGGTTTAGGGAACTCGGGTAGATTTTGTGAACTTGGGTAGGTCTAGGGAACTTGGGTAGGTTTAGGAAACTTGGGTAGGTTTGGTGAACTTGGGTAGGTTTAGGGAACTTGGGTAGGTTTGGTGAACTTGGGTAGGTTTAGGGAACTTGGGTATGTTTGATGAACTCTGGTAGGTTTAAGGAACTTTGGTAGGTTTAGGGAACTTGGGTAGGTTTTGTGAACTTGGGTATGTTTGATGAACTCGGGTAGGTTTAAGGAACTTTGGTAGGTTTAGGGAACTTGGGTAGGTTTTGTGAACTTGGGTATGTTTGATGAACTCAGGTAGGTTTAAGGAACTTGGGTAGGTGTAGAGAGCTCAGGCAAGTCTGAAGACCTTGGATGGCTTACTTTTAGATAGCTTCAGTACTTTTTTGGAATAATTCCAATTTAAATGTGCTACAGTAAATAACATCTAATGATCTAAATGACCATTTGTGTACTTCGGTTCATTCATTTAGTTTTTTTTCCTATTACTTTTCTTCTTAGTAAGGTTACTAATACTGTACATAGTTGTATTGAAACAAAGACTGATATATATAACAAAGACTCATATTTTGTATAACTTTTAACACAATCCCATGTTCTATATTTCGTCTTTTTGGTTGATGTTTTAGCTGAGTTGTTACATTTGATTAGTAGGACTTCAGTTTACAGACCTGAATTTATTTTCCTGGGCATTTTGCATTTCCTTATTAACGTTTTGTATAAAGCATAGCTACACAGACACGACTGCATAAAGCGATGGAGTTTTAGCTGAAGGTTAATTAATACAGGCTGTCAAAATTGTGCTGGCTAATTAAACATTGTAATGCTCTCGTTTGCATTTAAGTGGCATTTAACATTCTGGGACCATTAAGAAATGCCACTTGAAGTTCTGATCTTCCTTCTGTCTTTTAAATTACATAAAGCTAAATGAGTAACTGATACTGATAGATACTTTATTAATCCTAAAGGAAATTGCAGGCTTACACATATTTAGACAGAAAAAACACATTAAGGTATCAATGTAGCACGGTACTGGAGGCAAATACGATAAATAATTATGAGATATGGCATCCAGTACATCTGGTTTCTATGTGTGTGTGTGTGTGTGTGTCTGGTCCAGGTATACCTTACCTTGTGGGGACCTAATGACCTAAATGACTATTTATATACTTCAGTTCAGTCAAATGTCCCCACAATGTGATGAATACCCATTTCCTGGTCCCCATATCGGAAAACTGTATTTTATAAAAATCCGTGACTGCAATGAAAAAACTAAAAATGTAAAAACTCTTGTATTTTGTTTGGTTACTTATGGTTATGGTTAGGACTGGATAGGGTTAAAGTTGTCATAGATAGCATTAGCATTTTTCCCAAAGAAATGAATGAGTGGTCCCCAAAAAAATATGATTACACGACTGTGTGTGTGTGTGTGTGTGTGTGTGTGTGTCTCTATGTGTGTGTATTTTTAAAGACATTCACAAACACACTATGGCAAGAAGTTTTGTCATAGGCTTGACATTTGGGTGGTGATGCTATGGACAGAGAGACCTTAAAGTAACTTGAAGTTTTATAATTAGATGGGAAATAAGCTCCTTTTCAGCAGAGGACACCAGTATGCCGAGTGACCTGAATACTGGCATCACTGCCCGGCACCTTGGGCCAGCAATCCGTTTCGATTTAAATAAAGCCATGAGCTGCTAGACGTTTCAAGATCAGCTGTGTCAGGCAAGAATGTCAATGAGGTAACTCTGCAGCACGCATTGTGTTTGCAGCAAAGCACTCCATGGTAGTAAGGTAATAACGGCCCAGAATGTTGTGATGTAGGAAGTGGTGGAGGAATGGTCAGCGTTACCATGGTAACAAAAAAAGTATGAGTCAACGACTAATGTGTAGCCAGACCGTCGGTTTCAACAGACGTGGGGAAGCCTCATTGGCCGATCCTGCAGTTTTAAAGTGCCGACTGCCTATGCTTCTGAAATGTCGCGAGTCTGCCGGAGCTCAGGCAGAAGCAAACACCTGCACTGAGCTCTCTCACCTGTCCTGTCCACTTTCGCAGAAACACAGACAGCCTCTCCAGACTCATATAAACCAGTGGGTGAAAAATCATCTTCAGCTGTGCACTTATGCTCCAGAAGGAGATAAACAAAACAACAGCAACCCTCAGCACAAAGCCACAGTCCATGTGCTTATTTAAATGGTCATGACCATTTAGGTTGTATCTAAGCACCCAAAACCATAAACCAAATATTTGCAATAGGCTTCTCTAATTAGATCGGCCAGTGCCGCAATAACAGCTCCATAAATCAATAAATAGTCTAAAAAGTACCATAAATACCTTGCTTGACAATGATAACCTGCAGCAGTGTGATATGCTAGCTGGCCTTAATGTGCTGTGTTGTTATGAGGGAAGGCCCAAAGGTTACATTTTGCAGTTTTTTTTCAAAATTCTAGTAGTCCGTTCACCCCAAGAAGCCCCAGGAAGTGGCAGGTGTGAGTGCCTGCTGCATTTGTGAAATCAGAGGAAGGGGTTGGGAATTCTTCGCCAGCCAATGAGAGCGCAGGAGTGCAGAGATCCTGCAGCGACCCACAGTACATGCATTGCAGCTTCTGCCCAAATACTTAGATACCCTTGGAAATGTCTGGTTTGCTGCACGGTTTGATACATTTAGTCCTGCTCTAAATGCTCAAATGCCCTTTCAAAACCATTCTCTTGATGTTTACCAGAACTGCTTAATGAATTCAGCTTACAGAATTGCAGTGACCATACGGCAGGATGCGCTTGACGCGGGACGGCGGTCCTTCACAGTGCTCTGACGCATAAACACAGTCATATGAGGCATTTTATCACTAATTCAGTTGAAACCCCTGCCTTTTGACTGGGGAAACCCCAGTGCCCAGGAGAAAGCCTATGGAAACACAGCCGGAAAGTGCTAACTGAACACCCAAAGCAGACTGAGCGCAACCCCTGCCTTTAACTGGGCCATGTGACGCCCCTCCCACTACGTCATCTGTTACTCCGCCCCGTATGATGAGTTCCAGTCAAGGCACCTACATCTGGCATATTCAACTATATGTAAACATTTACATTTCAATTACATTCCAGGCTGTTTTGTCCAAAGTGACGTAGATGACAATCATGCAGCACAATACAAACAAAAGTGGATTAGAAATTTATTATAGCCATCTGTGCTACACTTTTTTCCACTCATATAGACATTTTAAAATCAGACTGCATTTGAGACAGTATTCGGTCATTTTTTCCTAATTCCAGTCAGTTATTTAAGCTGATGGTTAAATGACGCTAAATTTTCATTAATACTAAGGCAGTGTATAACATTTAATGCAGGTTGATAAGGTACCACCTCCTTCAGCGGAGTTGAAAATGTTGGAGTCATTAAAGTCATTAAGCGGCATTTCTGTCAGGGAGAGCTTCCCAAAGTCTGCCACAGCCTCACTGCTTATTGCTGCGGTATACAGTACTTCAGTCCTTCCATCCCTTTCTGCTGCTTTATTATCCTTTAAAAATGTTCTGTTTTGAATTGGCAGCCCTGCCGACCCATGACCACTGTCTCGCTTTGTGTAGCCGGAAGATATCGGCCAGTCCCCCGTGGCCCCCACGTCCGACGGGGATAAGGTGGACCTGGAGGCCTTCAGCGAGTTCACCAAGATCATCACCCCCGCCATCACCCGCGTTGTCGATTTTGCCAAAAAGCTGCCCATGTTCTCTGAGGTACGCCTGTGCTGGACCGCAGAGCCGCATGTGGGTGGTTTTTCGTCGGCCGTTGGTTTTAGCGAGGCTGTGTAAATCCGGAGAAGTTTATCATTCATTGCTGGCATGTGCTTGTTTCAGTCCGTCAGCATACCTCCCTGAGCCTAATTGACTAATTACTGTTTGCTTTGATTTCATATTGTAATCATCTTGATGGTTTCATATCTTTCTGGGCCTGTAATTACTCTTCTTCCGGAGCTCTAATACCTCAGCAAGGACGGCTCTGCTTTCCTGAGTGGAGCGAATGAGAGGCTCAGACTCAGTCTGCTGGAATCATTTCACAGTTCATGACGCTGAGGACCCAATGCATAGTCTTACAGTGTCGTTTGTTTATATAGGTGCTTTACACATTTTCCTAGCAGATGTTTTCATCCAAAGCAGCTGGAACACTTTATGGTTTCATTGTTTTTTGTGAAGTGGCACAGAGGCTCGGTGGATTGAGGATTGAGGTTTTGAATCCTGCCCGCAACTTTGTGTGCATGTGTGTGGAATCTGCATATTCCCTGCATGTCCCTTTCCATGACCCAGCAACATGAGGCTAGCTGGTGTCTCTAAGTTTCCTGTAGAATGTGATTGTGCCCCCTGTTGGAGTGGCATCCCATCCAGGGTGTCTCACTGGAACATGGCATAAGCTTCAAGCAGTTGTTGGGCAATTCAGGTCCATAAGCTACAAATCCAGACCAGGATTTTGTTTCTGCCAACAAGATGAGTAACTGTGATTCTTTATGCTCAACTGGTTGGTAGAAACAAAATCTCGGTCTGGATTTGTAGCTTCTGGACCTGAAATGTCCAACGCTGGCTTCAGGTTCCCCATGACCTTGCACTAGAAGATTAGCTAGGGAAGGTGGGTGGATAGGTAGATGTACATTGTTGGTGTGCTTTCTTCAGCTATTCATCTCTCTTGCCGTGTCTCCTAGCTGCCTTGTGAAGACCAGATCATCCTGCTCAAAGGCTGCTGCATGGAGATCATGTCCCTGCGGGCGGCTGTACGCTACGACCCCGAGAGCGAGACGCTGACCCTCAGTGGCGAGATGGCGGTCAAGCGCGAGCAGCTGAAGAACGGCGGCCTGGGCGTGGTGTCTGATGCCATCTTTGACCTGGGCAAGAGCCTGGCGCAGTTCAACCTGGACGACACGGAGGTGGCTCTGCTGCAGGCTGTACTGCTCATGAGTTCCGGTGAGGGCTCTCGTATGGGGGGGCGTGCGGGCTGTCCGGAAATGGTAGGGCTGTGGAAGACCCGTCTGTAGTTTGGAGCCAGCAGTGATGTGATCAGGCCAGGAGATGCCTAAAAAATCAAAGATGTGTACTCTCTGTAACCCCCACACATCATTGCATGCTTTTAATAAGATAAGGTAATATATACTTCATAGTTCCCGGGGGGAAATTCCTTTGCAAGTAGCAGTGAGGAACATTCGTGTGTGGGGATTATGTATATATTACATTGTGGGGACTAAATGTGATAAAGCCCTGTTAATTTTTTTTTTTTTTAGTTCCCACAAGGAGAAACTCAATTTTATAAAAATGTGTGACTGCAATCAAAAAACTTGTTGTTTGGTTACTTATGCTTAAGGTTAGGCCTGGGTAGGGGTTATGGTTGTCATGTTGGGATTAGAGTTTTCCCCATAGAAATTAATGGAGAGTCCCCACAAAGATATAATTTGCTTTATCTAGCTATCTACCCCTACATCTTTTTCTGTTTGCATTGTTTACTATAACACAGTGCTGCATAGTGATAGCAAAAAAATGTTAGCTTTGACAGTTGATACTGTTAGTCCGATAGCTCAAAAACTATTTGAAGGATCTTTTTCAAACTTTGCAGACTTATTGTATGGATGAACAACTGGTACTGATAAAATTTTGAGACAAATCACCCCAAATGTTGGCCAGGGTAATTGATCCAACCTTTGACCTTGTGCATGTGCTAAGTTCAAAAGTATTTTATGGATCTTATTCTATTTATTGTGTTACTGCACATGTACCTTAACTTACACTTTCACCTTAATCTATACTTCTGATCTGATTTTATGTGTTAATTTGTGTTCCACAGGAGGACACGTAGAGTAAGATTTTCTTAACATAGTGGAACCCATGTTTACTGTGCACGTGACGAGTAAACTCTTGAATTTTGAATACAATTTAAAAAACACAGACAAAGTTAAAAGACAGTATGCATAGTGCAAACAGATTTGGAAGGTATATACAGAATATTGTGGAGAAAATAATGAACATAAATAAATATAAATTATTTCCCTCTCACTCTCAGCCACCAGTAGGCTTTCACCTCTCCTCAGGCCATTCCTACCCTCACCCCAATGCTCCCCAATGCCCTTCTGCCCCAGTGCCCCCCAACCCCAATGCCTCCCCATGCTGATCCCCCCACCCCAATGCCCTCCCTTGGCAGAGCCTTTCTGCATTATCTGTTCTGTCAGTTCATTGATGATTGACGCCTCCCCCCAGATCGCTCTGGCCTCACCTGCACAGAGAAGATCGAGAAATGCCAGGAGACGTACCTGCTGGCTTTCGAACACTACATCAACTACCGCAAGCACAACATTCCTCACTTCTGGCCCAAGCTGCTGATGAAGGTGACGGACCTGCGCATGATTGGGGCCTGTCACGCCAGCCGCTTCCTGCACATGAAGGTGGAGTGCCCCACCGAGCTCTTCCCCCCACTCTTCCTGGAGGTCTTTGAGGACCAGGAGGTCTGAACCAGGGAAGCTGGGGGCGGGACGTGGGTGGCAGAGGGGGTGGAGTCCGAGGGGATCGGGGAGAACTCACCCCTTGAACATCAGATGTCAAAACACACCAGCAGCAGTGCTCATCGGGATAAAAACGGCCTCTTATTATTCGATTCAGTCAGGCTGCCCTTCTGTCTTAAAGTTTCACCTCAGTCCAAGCCAGCCAACCCCACTCAGACACACACACACACACACACACACATACCCACTATGGCCTCAATTCTCAATTCAGCATGCTCATCCCATTCATATGTATTTCATTGTAACCAGCTGTAGATCACTGCAGCTTTGAAGTCGTTTCTCCATTACAACGCCCCTGTCATTTCCCAGAAGCGTAGTGCTCCGGTTTCAAAGCTGAACATTAATAACATCCCGGGAAGTGTATTGGGTCCTATAGATACGTACACCCTACAGATGTGAAGACACGACATAGCCCCGTCGGCGGGCCCCCCAGCGTGGCGGTACAGCGGAGCTCTCAGCACTTACGCCCCCTCATGGAGACCAAGTGCGTTGACACACCTGCTAATGTCATCCCGCTATTTTTTAATTAACATGACACTCGACTGGGGATGCAGGGTTTTTTAAAGACAGGTCTAGAGTGGAGTTTACAGAAAGCCAATCCCGCGAGCCGTTCCTCAGGTTTGGTGGTTTGGGTCCCGAACCTGTACGCTCTCAGTCTCACGGCGAGGACACCTGACAAGTGACCGTGTGCGTGGCAAATGAGACAAACTCGCTCAGAATGTTTGTCTTCACCCGCCGCTTTCGCTTACTCGCCCGCGCTCATTGGCATCACACCCATCGGCAGTGGCGAGGGTGGCGGCTCCAGAATGCCAGTGAGCGGGATTTTGCTGCGAGAGAACCAGACGGGGGGGGGCACAGGTCCCCTTCGAGGGGGCTGCTCCGGCATCGTCCTCTGGTCTCAAAGGGAAGGCTGTGCACACCCAGCAGTCTCTCTGCTCCCGACCTGCGTGAGTCCATGTTATCTTTAGCTTAGACACGCCCCCTTCTGAAAATTGGGCGGGGAATACCGTGATGGCTGTCGTTTACCTCGGTGTGGGCGCCTCAGGCTGTGGTTCGAGGACTGCCGCTTTACTGACAGACTCTACCTCACCTCTGGTCACAGGGCAGCTGCCCACAGCCCTCATCCCACACACACACACACACACACACACACACACACACCTAAACACATACACACTCATACATATTCAGTGCTGAGACCTTCAAACCTTTCAGACATAATACCACTGAAGGCAGAGGGGCCTCCTCACTCGATTTGTCTTTTGTGGATGTTCTTTCTTTACCAGACTATTTGGGGGGAGGGGCGGGTATTGATTAAGGTTGATTTTTGTAAAAAAACTAAGAAAGTAAAAAAACAAAAAAAGTAAAAATGAATATGGGATTGAGTGTCACTTTGGTGATGAGCAATTAAAAGGATGTGGTTTTGAACCTGAGAACCAGCACCAGATGGGCTTCGAGCACTGTTTTTGAGGAGAAAACGTAAAAGACAGCCTCACTTTGAATGCTATGCAGTCGGCGGTAAGATGGTTGGGGGGGTCCCCATCCAATGGCTGGAGAGGATCAGAGGCGGGCCTCACTCAGAGCCCCACCCGCTCACTCGTTGGTGGCCGCGGGGCCCCCACATGAAGATGCCCTCGCTCCCTGGCTCTGCTCTCCCACCCTGGATGCTCCGGCCCCCGTTTCTCCGTGAGGCATGGAGCAGAGATGCCAGCTCCTAGCTCGCCCAGCACGCAGCCAGCCATCGGTGCCACCTGCCCTCACCGGGCTGCGACTGCACCTGGGTGGCGGAGCCCGCCTGTCAGTATTAAGCATACAGGAAACGGCCGCTGCCACCACACCTTGCAGTTCTCACTTTCACCACGAGCGCGGTTAGCACTAACGCTAACGGGGATCCCAGCTCTGGTGGCGGCAGTGACGGCAACTCGTCCCCAAGCTGGTGTGTGGCAGCCCACCTTTCCCCACACACTACTCCGCCCTCCTCGTTAGACGAGACCGGTTGGCCGCGCCCTTATATGGAGAGGTGTCACCCAATGAATGTAGACAAGACATGGAAGCCTAGGTCTGAAAGAGAGAGAGAGAGAGTGACTTTCCGGAAGACGGGGAGGGGCACGTCGGGGAGGAAACTGCGTTTACTAATAACACGAGGTTGGACTAGGGCAGCTGGAGGGGGTTAAAAACCCTGCAGGCCGTCCCAGCATATCAAGTGCAGGCACTCGATTGGCATGCCCCCCCCGCCTCGCCCAACCCCCACCCCTCGACCCCCCCTGGCCGCACTTGCCTGGATCTCCCCACCGTCGGCACCTCCCTCGCCTTCCTCCGGAGAGAAAATGACATTTCACCTGACTGTCGATAGAGCAAGAATCGAGATGGCATTCCATTGATGCGGGTACGGAACTTCTTAACGGGAGATTTAAAAACCAGAAATGTAAGAGTTTTAAAAAGAAAAAAAAAAACAACAAAAAAAAAACAAAAAGATCTTACAGTGGTGTTATTGTGAGCTGATTGGGTGCGTATGTGACACTAGGGGCTACAATGCTGCTTTACCTTATGAGTCTAATTTTATTTTATTTGAGAAAAAAAGAAATATTATAATGAAAAAATTAAAAACCCAAAAACAAAAATGAAAAGATGACTTTAAAGACTCCAGAACAAAGTTGAGAACTTGGAGATTGAGCTGTTTTAATTTTATTGTTTTTTTTTGTTGTTGTTTGTTTTATAAGTTTCAGTTTATTTCAGTGTTTTTTTTTTTGTTGATGCTTAACTGCTCTGTGTACAAAAACAAGACGAAAAAAAAATGGCCGTAGTCACCTTTTGACCATGCGTGCAGTGTAACCTAGACAAGAAAACTCATCTCTTCTTCACCTCACCCCTAGTTTGTGTTAATAAGACGACTGATATTTCGTCTGTGTCTGTCCTATTGTCCGTCTCTTATATGAGGAGGAATTTACAAGAAGCGTAAACAGAAATATTTTCTCTTTTCATTTTGTTTCCTTTTTTTAAAAAAAGACTATAAAAACACAAACAAGAAAAAATAATGCAACAGTAACTGAAAATACAAAAAAATAAATAAACCTGACTGAGACACAATCTACTCATACCTCACACAACACAAAACTCAAATGGACTTGGGAAAGAGTTGTGATACGCATGCACGCATGACGCCTGTGTCTGCATGCACGTACGTAAAGGTTCCTCCAGCGTACGTGGGCGTACGGCACATGCGTTTCCAGCCACTACAAAAATAACTGTCCACAAGCTGGGTGCCTTTTTGGAGCAGCAATAACATATCTGTTACTCATAGCAACAGTGGCCTCTCCCATCTGGGATACTTGTGTTTAACATTTATGAACAGTATTAAAGGCAGTGGATTCACTTCAGCGTCTTCAACATGAATCTCACCCTCTGTACCTTGATACATCCCTCGGCCCTCCAATGAAGAGAGCGCAGGCTTCCCACAGCCTTCCAATGAAACAAAAGCAGGCTTGCTTCAGCCCTCCAATAAAACAAGAGCAAACCTCCCAAAGCCATCCAATGAAATGAAAGCAGGCTTGCTTCCTCCCTCAAATGAAACAAGAGCAAGCTTCCCACAGCCCTCCAATGAAATGAGAGCGGGCTTCCCACAGCTTAGGCTGGTTATTTTTGTAAAGGCTGTGTGCTTTGTGGTGTTGAATGTAGCTGATGGTACCGGGCTAAATCTGAGCCCGGCACTCAGAACCTCACTTCGGGTCACCAGCAGAGTGCAGTGGACAGTGCTGTCAAACTGACATTACATGCAACAAACTGAGAATATTGCCCAACTGCAAGGTGCAATACTTTTGTTTTTCTGTTTTTATTCTTTTGTGCTTTTATTATTAATTGTTTTATTTTCTTTTTGTTTTGGCCATAACCAAGGATGTATAGAAAAAACTATTAAAAACATAACAGCTAGGAACATACATGGATACATTTATACATTCTGGTTCTGGTTCATTGACTCTCTACATATTTAAAATCAGCCATGTTTACACACATACACACATGTACATACGACCATATTTGAAAGCGTTCCAACAGGTTAACAATCACCTGACTCCTTCTGGTAATTTCATTTTTTTCCTGAAGCCTGCACCCCCTCCCTGAATAACATGCCACATACATGCACACACGCACACACATGTTGTTCACTAATAGTGCGGTGTCCCGATTCGGGACTAATGGATGGCATATAGTGATATGTGAGTGGTTCTACTTGCAGGTTTCTTTGTTAGTGTGTGAGGCGGAGTGGGAGTCGGAAGGGGGTAGAGGATTTTGATAAGGATTTCAAGAGTTCCAACTGTCAGAGGACACATGTTCATGACTGCAAAAGAAAAACAATCGATGCAAGAAATATGTTCACAGTTTACTCTGAGGCGGGAGCGTCCAATCATGGCCACCGCACACAAGCAGACACAGAAAGGGTGACATCATATGTGTCTCCTCATTTTTTGTATTTCATTTACAACCGGATGCCAAATGTGGAGTTTGTTTGCAGACCAAGTCCTCTTCGACACTTTGGCAGTGTCCCCCCCCCCCACACACATTACAAGTGGGCCATTCCAGTAGCCATTTTGAAATGCAGTCGCTGCTTTTTTATGGATCCTTTTGGTGTTTGTATGGCGTGAATGATTCCCAGTGTTCCCTGCTTGCCTGAGAGCTGAGGCCTGACGACTGACAGAGTCTGAGACGAGGAGGGCAGTGAGCTATTTGTTGAGGGAGGTCCATGGGTCTGCTATGTCATTTGTAAGGGATTGGTCCCCGAATCGCACTCAGCTTGGCAGCTCGCCCCGCCATTGGCCAAGGCCCACCCTTCGTACATCCATTGGGGACACAGAGTGGCAGGAGGGAGGTTCCGAAAGGGTATGAGGAGAACTGAATAGAGCCTAACAGTTGTGCTCACTCTCACTGGGTGTGTGAAACAATGGAGAGGTTGTAGACACTGACTGGGAAGGTGACGTGCACATGTGTGTGGTTTGTGTGTCTTATTGATGGAGTGCTCTCGCTTTGTCAAATTGATGCTCTCTACGTTGCTTAGTGGGGAAGACGGCAAATTTGTTTTGAATAAATATAAGGAAACCACTCCCTGGGATTACCAGTAAAAAACAAATTCTAATATATACTGTATATTACATTTTTTTAAAGGGTTAGTAAGTAAATAAAATGTTAGGGCAAGTTTGCATATTTCCAAGACCGCTGAGCTCCTGTGAGTGCCCGGTTTTGATCTTGCCCCCCGACACCTGTTTATTGCAAACTGAAGCACTTAGCTAACTAAGGAGCAGACATATTTATGGGGGTGTCCCACCTGTGCGCACTGTAGCAGAATTTCTGCTGCGTAGACCAGGAGTCTGTCGATTTTCCTTAACGTGAAAATGAGTGTAATTGCAGTCAGAAGACACAAGCGTGCATGTGACTTTTAAAATCCTGTTTGTTGGATATAAGAGCTTCTGTGATGGAAATGGGTCCATTTCAAATATGGCCACAGTTATAGTAGGATTTTGGCTGACGTTTAGTGCCTGTTCAGACACTGATTGTTTTCATGATGATGTTTACCAAGCCTGTTCTGTCCCGCTCATCCATCGAGGAAACCATCTTAGGCAAACGGGGTACAGAGCAAACATCTGAAAGGTCAGTCACCATGTGTACACGCTGTGCATATCGCCTTGCGTCTCGTCAGTGTAGGATGTTTGCTAAGGATAGTACTTAAGGAAGTGGGCGTGGCTTCAGACTCACCAGTTCCTTTATTCTCCCCGGCATCTCCATGTCATACGTCTGTTTGGTCGTCTGGTTGTTTCCACAAGCACAGCAGCTCAATGCATTATTTATTCAGTATGAGGCACTAAGAGGAACTGCCGCTGTACTTTAGCATTGACAAATATCAGATTGAGGCAGCTGAGTTGCTGAGTGGGGGGGGGGGGGAATCAGACGTGCCTGTATGTGGCCCCCTGGATTAAAGCCATGAGCATCAATTCTTGAAAACTGACATAAGAACACATGTAACACCTGTGCAACCTGATTGAAAGTTACTGAAGGAATATCTCAGGTAAAAGTTTTTTTTATTATTATTGTTTTTTTTTTTTTATATAAAACACGACTATACAACCAATGTTAACTCATGCTTCTTTCCTGGCACTGGAGTATGCGTCATACTTTTCTATGCGGTCTTGCTTTAGCGCACTTTGACCTTTCACCTTCACTCCTCTACTACCGGGTTCTACTTTCATGAGTTGTGATTGGTTCAGAGAGGGGTGTGGCGGTATGATTTCCGTTTATCCATTTTTTACAAGCTATTTGTTAAATTGCTTAGCAAACTATTTTATGTGGATCAACTTACCTGCATTACAAAGTCAGTGATTCAGGTTACGCACTTTTTTTACCAAGGGTACAACAGTAGAGAGATGCACAGCCCTGCTCTTAAGAAAGTCTGAGCAAAACCCGCTTGCATCTTCACTGGTCTAATACAGAACATGTTAAAGGTTGCTTAAGCTGGAAGCCCCTTATCGTTTAAAATACAATAGCCCTGGATACCATTTTTGGAGCTTGTGTTGATAAGATGTAGAATATCTCACAATGTAAGACAGATGTTTATTTTCCTTTTTAAGTTCTGTTTCCATGTCCAGATTTTAAAGCAGAAATTGACACCATTTTCGTTAGATATACTCTGTGCTCACAAGGACCTTGGTATCCCATGTAGCCTAAGAGGCAAGTTGTGTGTGATCTCATATTGCCACACCCTCGTCTGTATCTGTGAGTGAAAAAATTTAAGCAAATCCAATGAGCAAAGATGTATATATTTACAATTGTATGTAAACACAATAAATGGACAGTGGATTTTATTTTTTATCTCCTGTTTTTGGCAGTTTGCTTTCCTCAAAAATCTTTTGTGATGATGAAAGAGACCCCAGCACCTTGGACTGATCTGTGTTGTGTCTGTAGGGGGCGCCGCCTAGTCCCAAAGAGCAAAAGAAAGGCATGTCCCTTTACTCAAAGATGTTAACTTGGGGGTTCTCCTTTTGCCTTCCTGCATTTTTGTTGTTTCAGTTTGGGCCTCTGAGATCCTTCCTCCCTGCCTGTTGCGATGACAGTGTGTCTTGCATGTGTTTGTGTCCAGTGGGTCCAGACGGGACTGAGTCTGGGCCGTCCGATGTCCTTTACAACCCAAAGCACCTTTTGAGGCTGGGCGACGAGAGATCACTCTGAGAGCGGGGGCTTTTCAATGCAAGTCCCCTCCTCCTGCCTCTCCCTTTTGAAGGAATGTATCCCATAATGCATGGCAAGGCGTGGAGGAATGCGAGCTTTATGTATTAGTCTGCCTCCAGAAATGGATTTTGTTTTTTGAGCTCTTAAAATTAGTGCAGCTTTTCCCTGTAAGTTAAAAACCAGACAAAATTCAGTATATGCTCTGCTGTTTCACTTTGTCCTTTGAAATAATCAGCACTGTTGTGTGTTTTTAATGTGCCCTACTGCAGCAGGCCTTGCTCAGATGTCTGAAAAGCCTTTGCTAAACTCCTTTCCCAAGATTCAGCAGTTGATCCATAGGGCATTCAGAAAATATAGTGAATGTTCAGGTTTGACGGGGGTCTTATCTGGGACAGCAGCAGGTAGGCTTAGGAATGTTCCTGAATGTTCCGTCATGGAGAAGTATGAGGCGGGACACTCCTTAACCATAGCATAAACCCGCAGAGCTAGTGTGTGTGTGTGTGTGTGTCTGTGTGTGTTTGTGTGAGCGGGTTTACCTATCCTTATGGGGACATAATGTCCCCATAACGTGAAAAATATCTGTTTTTTTTCCCTTATGGGGACCGGTTTTATAAAAATCGGTGACTGCTACAGTATGAAAAGACTAAAAATGCAAAAACTCTTGTATTTTGTTAGGTTGCTTATGGTTATGGCTAGGGCAGGGTAGGGGTTAAGGTTGTCATAGTTAGCGTTAGCATTTTTCCCATTGAAATGAATGAGCGGTCCCCATAAGGATATGTTTACCCTACATGTGCGTGTGTGTGTGTGTGTGTGTGTGTGTGCGCGTGCGCAGCTGCTGCAGTGTAAGAGATCAGGCTGGCCATGCATTAAGCAGCATATTCATCTGCAGGACGCAGGTCTGCAAAGCCATGGCCTAAAATCCTATCTGCAGACGAGGCTTCAAAGCAGTCCTAAAAAGAGGGGGGCGGGGGGGTGAGGGGTCACTTGAAAATGAACATAATCTGCCTTAGTGTTGGGAATGGGGCAAAGTATGACCCCAGATGGAGATTAAGCCTTCTTCTTTACCAGCCAGGTTTAGGCAGGAAAACCGATATTGAGGTGAAGATGATGATGATGATGATGACGATGATGATGATGATGGTGGCTGATTCTTGCCTCACTGGGAGTTTGTCACACAGTAGCCAAACTTGCTCGTGCGCTACAGAAGAAAGATGGTGCCAGTGAGGGAGTTTACTTCACTTTTGATGGTAATATGTAGCCGATGCAGACTGAGATTATTTTTATACACCCACATACTGTGGACAACATGGTATGCATAAGACAGAAAGAATTGTAAGCGTTTAAGAATATATTTGGTAATAGGTTTTGGTATTTTGTATATAAATGTATAATAAATCAAAATATTATTATTATTAATGAATCTATAGTTATATTTACATATACAGCTTCTTTGTCCTTTGGGCCAGGCGGATCAGAATTTCTCAGGACTGAGAGGCCTCAAACGGTGCTTAAACGTCCCCCTTTTCCTGTGCTGAATCTTCACTGTGTCGAAGACTTACTGAAACAGCGACATCACAGGCTGCTTTACACGCACCTTTTAGCAGAGTGTGTAAATGTGACCACACATCATTTCAGTCACCCGTTTAGTTCTGGCTACACAATACATAAATTAAAACCATCTGTCTCTATCTCTCTCTCACACACACATGTGCATTTTCTCCACTTTGGTCATGAAGCCAAACAGAGGGATCAAAGCCGTTTTTGATGGGTCCATTGACGTACCAAATGACCTTGCCAAAGACAGCAGTTCAATCTGTTTATCCTCTGGAAGGATGCGTGTAAAAATGTGCGTTGCTGCATCGCCGCTGTTCTGCAATGCTGAGAGCAGACCCAGTCTGGCCTTCTAGGTCAGAGAAACCTGTCATGTTATTTCTGAGCTGTTGGTTTTTCCAATCCACTGTCCAAGCCAGAGAGAGGCCACCAGTGCCCCGAGGATTGTCAAACACCCACGCTTCCGTTCAGACCCCAAACATCTGACCAAATTAGGCCTGTGGCACAGTGACATCATTGTCCTCACTTTGGCATTTGGTTGTCTTTCTCTGGTAAAAGCCATTTTTATGTCACTTGTTGTAATTTGTACGGAGATGTGAATTGTTTTTTCCACTTTTAAAAGGTATTTTCCAAAAAAAGAAAACTAGCAGATTAGCCAATTGATCTGTATACTTGTGGTCATGAATAAAAAGTAACAATATACAGTTTTTAAAAAGACATCAACCAGCAGAAAATCAGTCGAAGTAAAAAAAATGAGTAAAAGGAAATTAAAAAAAAACTCTATAACTACTATTACTACTAATACTACTACTCGTTATTCAGTTTTTAATCACTCTTTGATCTTAGTTACTTGGATCACTGTGATTGCAGAGGCTACTGGGAACTGTGCGCTGCACTGATGCTCAGGGGTCGTGACCTTTGGCAAGGATCAGTCTGTTAGACTGAGCAGCCACATCAGAGGGTCTGCTGAAGTTGAACCTGCCTAATGACATCCCTTGGCCATCTGCTTTTAAGCAAGCAATAGAAAGTTGGCACAGTCTCAGTATTCCATAGGGTCTATACAGCTTCAGCAAGCTCTCACTGTAAGATTGGGGGTCTTCAATACACAGTGGTCTTCAATACAGTCGAACCTTTTGGCTGTAGCTCAACTCTGGGACTACAGTGTCACAAAAACAAAATGTCTCGCAGGCAGGACTGTAGTCTTAATCAGATCTGTGACTGGTAGGTGGAGGAACACAGGTGTACCACATACCGGGGAGGAAGATCAGAGCCGGGTCAGAACACACGCATACACACAGACACGCGCACACACATACACACGTGTTCACACTGTTGCAAGAACCTAGCGAGAAACGGAAGAGACATTCAGTTCTGTTCAGATTGAGCAGACACAACTCCATAGTATCGGAGCAGAAGCTCCAAGCGGAAGTTACAGATACACACACAACACCTCCGAATATCTACTGTGATCTCCACTCACGCCACCCAGCCCCCGTCCTAAACCCAGCCGAGCGTCCTTACCCACCCGCAGCACGCAGTTTATGCTTCTCACCCGTGTTGACCGTGTACCCCCCCCCCCTCCCCAGGACAGTCCAGTGGGTGGTGTGATGTCAGGATTTTGTGGTGGGCTGCTGTTGACAGGTCCAGACAATCAGCGTGTTTGTTAATGTCAATGTGTGATTTTCAAATCTTTGTTTATGGTCAGGATTTTAAAGGAAGATATTTTTATGGTAATTGTCGCTGGTCTATTTTACTATATATTTATGTAATAAATATGTGATTAAATTTACTTCTTGGACTCTTTGATTTCTTCTGGCTTGCTGCTCTCTCCTTCCCCTTCATGTCCCTCTGCTTCGTCCTCGGTCGGTCGTTGTCTGGGGAATAACGATGAATAGAGAATTCGTATAATGTGTTGGGTGATTCCTATTGTCATGCCACGTGAGTCCCTTTAGAACGCTCCAGATCGCTGTCACAATGACGGTTGAAAAAAACCCTAAAAGAAGGAGAGAAACACTGAGAGAGGACGGGGAAATCAGAAGGTCCAGGTGCAGGTTGCGTGTCTCTGTCTTCTGCAGGAACTTCCCCTCCTCTGGCCCTTTCGCAGCCAGCATTGGGCCCCCTGGCCCAAACTACAAATACTTCACACTCGTCTATCTCACAGGAGCACGTGGGCCCGGATTGCTGTGACATCGAGATTGTTGTCATCGCGCCTTTGTGACTAATGCACATCCTGCTTCTTCCAAACTGCCAACGAGCCGGAAATACGGAAAGACAAGCTGCTGCTGCTGTCTGTGCTGGCTGACAGTAGGCTGGATGATTAAGGACAATTCGATTGTTATGTAAGCTATAATAATAATAATAATAGTTACAATAATACTGTTATTGGGTAATATGGTCTGCCCAGAGATGAAGGGGCAGTGGTCCAGCAGGCCAGCTACAGCCGCCTCTGTCAGCTTTCATCTGCAACATGTTATTGCAGCATATGGAAATTTATTGCACTAAAACATCTTGAATGAAGCGCAGCTTAAAAATAAGACCAAGTACAGTGCAGCGTTGTACAAAGACTGATAAACACTGGAAGAAAATGTTCCATTTCATTTGCCAAGTTCAAGTTTCCTACAACTACAGAAAACAGGACTGAGTGATGGAAAATTATGGATTTTCATTATCCTAGGCAGTTATATATTGATTTCTGGCACAAGAAAACAACATTTTTTTCTGATGTACTCCAATTAAATAAGTTTAAATACGTTTACAATGTTCTTGTGTAAAATTAAAGGTGTTGCTATGTTTTCGGGAAAATTATCCAACTGTTAGCCTGCTGTTCACATTCAGATGGAGGTAGTTGTCTCTTGATGTGAAAAGGTTTAAAGCTTGTTGGGTATTTTAACTGGTAAGTGCTATCCAGATTTTCAGTACCAAACCGAAATCTTTGGCCTATCGTGATTAGCTCATTTCAAACATTCCCCATTCTCTGTCTCTCTCCTTGTCCCCAGAAAGGCATCCAGTTTGCCAACAAGAGGTTGCTGTGGAATCTGGATGCACAGTAAGGTTAAGGTGAACTAGATAGCTGGACGAGAAGCTAGATAT